GAGAGAGAGAGAGAGAGAGAGAGAGAGAGAGAGAGACATAAATAATGATGCTATGAAATAAAGAGTGGATATCTCAAAGGTCAGTGTTTCATGTGGTTCAACCATAACTGTTCTTACCTCCCAGCAGCTGTGCAAAGGCCTCAGGGCAGGTGGAGGGGATGGGAAGGGTCAACTTGTTCATGGCAACTCCATAAGCCACAGCCAAAGCATCGATTTCACGGTATGGCACCTCACCAGTCAGCAGCTCCCAGAGTAACACTCCAAAACTGACACGAAAAAGACTATAATCAGCCACAAAACCTCTAGTTAGGCCACAAAAGATAGTCCAGAGGAGGATGGAAGCTCACCTCCACACATCACTGCTTTTGGAGAACAGGGACAGCTTGATGACCTCGGGAGCCATCCAGGCATACGTGCCCGCTGCGCTCATCTTCGTGGTGCGATGCCATTCCCGAGCAAGCCCAAAGTCTGTGATCTTCAGAGTCTTCCCGCTCAGGTCGTCTCTCTCCACAGGCTCCAGAATCAGAACTGAGGGAGGAGTGAAACGAAGAACAGAGAAACATGAAACCAAAGTAGGTTGGAGATAAATGGAGCGAATTTTGGCTCTTTGCTGATATTCCTGAATAATGAAGAGGAAACAATACCAACTTCTGCATGTAATATCCAGTAATTAGTCTCGGTGGTGCTCATTAGAAGTCAAACCAGATTATTTGGCACGCAGAAGCTTTATACAAAGATTGCAAACAATATCCTTGATTTGCACTTAAGATAAAACTCAAGTGCAAACATGTGTAACACACGTTTGAGTCATATGACAATGACACAATGTGAGAACGACTTATGTACACAAAAACAAAACTGCATCTACAGATCATCTTAGATCAGAATATCAAATTCATTTTAGCCGTTATAATATTAACTCTTGCTTTTTCTTTTCCACATTCCCATTCTCATATTGTTTTGTTTTTCAAAAGGAATTTGTATTCGCAACTCATTTTACTCTACCATCTGTGACGTATTTCTAAATGAAACCGGATGTTCAATGGGAACAAAATCTAGGGCGGGATTTGATGCATCAACTGAATCACCATAATGGAGTTAAATTGGAATGCTATCCTCTTGAAACACCATTGGTACCTATTTTTTTCTTAAAAAGCTTTGAAAATGCTTTTAAAGAGGTCACAATTCATGAGTTCACGCTTGACGTAAACATCAGCACGTTGTGAAACACACGTTGGCCAGAAGCGATGGTTTATAGTTAAAAATGTTTAAAATGTGTACTTTTCTTACATAAAGCTATCATTTCATATCAGATGACATCAATTCATGCCATAGAGATGGATTAGATTTCTAAAAATTTTTTTTTTATTTTTTTTATGTAGTTAAAGTCATACACATTGTGCGCAGCATGAGAGTCAGTAAATTATAAGTGTATTACATTTTTAGGTGGAGTAACCCTTTAAAGGCCATTCGTCCATTCAAACTCTATGGTAAATTGCTACTAATTAATGTCACTTGGAAGAAACTAGCCAAATTATGCCGAAATTATTCATGTCCTAAAAACCTCTGAACAAAACAGGTAAAACTAGTGCAACCCAGATAAATTAAATATGACCCTGGACCACAAAATCAGTCATAAGGGTCGATTTTTTGAGGGTGCAAAGAAATCAAAATATTGAGAAAATTGCCTTTAAAGTTGTCCAAATGAAGTTCTTAGCAATGCATATTACTAATCAAAAATTACGTTTTGATATATTTATGGTAGGAAATTTACAAAATATCTTCATGGAACATGATCTTTACCTAATATCATGATTTTTGGCATAAATAAAAAAAATTATAATTTTGACCCATACAATATATTGTTGGCTATTGCTACAAATATACCCGTGATATTTATGACTGGTTTTGTGGTCCAGGGTCACAAATACAGTTTACATTTGTTATTGTGTTAGGTAGCCACCTGATGACGAATATAACATTTGGATTCTGAAGCAAAAACAGTTGATAATCTGTCCTAAAACACTACCTAAATAGCTATTTGGCTTTTGTTAATCTTATCCAATGTCCCACGTGACCCTCATTATGTCACTCAAAAGAAAATAAGTGTTTTCAAAGGTGGACCTAGTTGCTACATTTTGATGAAAGCAGATAAATATTTTTTGTCTTTGGAATCATGAACTGTACACACCATTCAAAAAGTCTCTTATGTTCACCAAGCAGTTAAACAGTAATATTGTGAAATATTATTACAGTTTAAAATACCTGTATATTTTAAAATGCAATTTATTCCTGTAATGGTAAAGCTGAATTTTCAGCAGTGATTACTCCAGTCTTCAGTGGAGATCCTTCAGAAATCATTCTAATATACTGATTTGGTGCTCAAGAAGCATTCTTATTATTATCAATGTTGAAAACAGTTGTGCTGCTTAATATATGACTTTACTATTACTTTTAATAAATGTAATGTGTCCTTGCTGAATGAAAGTATTAATGTCTTTCCAAAAACAAAAAGTAAATCTTACTGACCCCCAAACATTTGAACGGTAGTGCACATAAGGGAATAAACGCAATGTATTCCAGAATGGACTAATTTGAATCATTCACAATAATACCATGTATTAAGAAAGTAAACCGGGTCAATTTTGAATTAACAGACTCAGCAAAACAGAGACTTCTTGACTTTTAGAGCGAGTTGAAGCTCTATCAAATATTTATCAGCCAGTAGCATGTATGCAGGCAACACAGAGCACCAAAGAGAAACAAGATCTATTACACACACACACACACATGCTCTCTTTCACGTAATTGAGGTAAAGTGCAAACTCATCTATACACAACACAAACTTACCTTTACAACACACTTGACAAGCTTTAACCTATACTCATAACAGGCACCAGTAAACTGCATGTGGACAACAGGTTCAATATTTCACAGAAGTGGCATTGAAGGACAGAATGATCCTGGCATTGCTATTCATTGAATTCAGATCTATGTTTACTGAAGCTATCAAGATCCACACACTTAGTTTATTAGAACAAGAATTATAGAAGTCAATAGGTACATAAGTCAAAAAGGTTGGGAAAAACTAGTCACGCCACATGAGATTATACAGTTGCCATAAAGACTTAAAAGAGCTCAACTAGAGTCTAGTTCACATTTACAAACATGAGTCACACCGGATAGAATAAATCATAAATACAATGTGAACTATAGCTTTCTTTACAGTACTATACTTCATATGTGTGTGCGTATTACATTTATATATAAATATGTGAGTGTGTACTGTATGAGAGAGTGATGCTAGTCTGTGGTGCCCTGTTCTTTCCCTCCTCCCTGTATTTCCTGCTGTTTTTCCTTGTGCGGGCAGGCTATGGAAATGTTTGTGGAGTGTCAATAGTCAGCTGGACTGGTTTGAGTGGGGTGGGGACGGGTGGAGTGCAGCCTGCACTTCCATTATCACCACACATATGCAAACGGGAGCAGAGAGAGACAGGAAGAGAACACAGCTGAGTTTCTGTTTGGCCAGCACATCACAAGCTCAGGTTGAACAGGTGGAACCTTTCTCTCTTTCCCTCCAGATTATTACATTCATCAGATAGACTAATACATTATAAACTGCTGTGTCACTTTATACAATATAATGTTATATTAATATTATATGACATGCAGATAATTAGATAACTAGATGCACGTTATTTGTATAACTAGAAGTTTTGTCAATGAAAAGAAATTATGATTTATTATAATGATACTATTTACGTTTTTATTAAATAAAGATTACATTTAGCATTGCCTATATGCATTTACAATATATAGATAACAGAATATCAGACAGACAGACAGATAGATAGATAGATAGATAGATAGATAGTTTGCCCTATATGGAAGCCAGGGGTGTAAATAAAACCAAACTGTCTTTTAAAATAAAAATACAAAAATAGAAGTGAAAACAATTAGTTCACATTTTTTAGAGATGTATTAAGTGATCAATTCCTGCAATATTAGATGAAAAGATGACAAAATATAGCAAAAACACTGGATGTGAATGATCACTATTATTATACAATATTATACAATATTATAACCATGTATGTGACAAATAAAAAATCTTGAATCTTGAATCAATAGAAGGTTGAGTCAAGTTTACTGACAAGACAAGACTTTGTGTGTGTGTGTGTGTGTGTGTGTGTGATTTGATAATCATATTGGCTAAATGACTGATCTGTGTAAGTTATTTACCTGCTCAAGACTGCAAGAAAACTATTCTAAATACAATCTGTCACACTTTACAGTAAGGTTCCATTTATTTACATTAGTTAACAACATTAGAAAACAAGAACTACCAATGAAAAAAAAAACTTTAAAGAATTTATTAATCTCAACATTTACTAACACATTATCAAAATCAAAATTGTTTACTAATACATTATCAAAATCAAATCACATCTGTTCATATTATTTAATGGACCTGAGCTAACATCAACTAACAATGAACTACGCATGGGCCGATTACCGGTTTCTAGGTATACCGCGATTTGAAAATGTCAGTTTCAAAACCGCTAATATTTTCCGTTATACCGTTCCTGTGTTATGCGCTGTTTTTCATGTCTCCTCAAAGACAGAAAGTGTAGAAATCCCTTCAGGTTGAGTGCAGTGTAGAGAGTAACATGACCCTCCTCCTACTAAGAGCTTGTAACACTCCAAAGAGAAAGGAAAAATTGAAATCGCATCATATGACCCCTTTAACACAGGTCAAAAACGTTGAAGACGGACACAGAGAAAAATACTGTAGCAGGCAGATCACTCACTGGTCATGATTCACAAACTATTGGAAGAAAATCCTCAATATTGATTTGGGGCTTTATATGAATGTGGTATTTTCTTTTAATCTCGTCTCTGTATAGTTCATACAGAGTTTGGTAGCAGTGTTTCAGTGCAGTGCTGCTTTGTTTACAGCGGTAACCAAGGAAACACTGTATCTGGTGTTTGAGAAGCGCCTCCTGCTGTCACAGAGTGAATCTGCGTCTCATTCAGAGCTTCTGCTGTTTGCTTCGTTCAGGCATGTAGTATAATTTCACAAAGCTAATCAGAACAGAACATTCTGTTTTTGCTTCAAATTGGGTTATTATTAAATCAAATTATGTATATGAAATTATATAACTAAATGAATTGAAATGATATAAATGATATGTATATGAATTATATAACTAAGATTAAATAACTGTAATTACAGATTTAGGTTAAATAAAGATGTCAGTCTTTATTTTTCTTCTTTTTAGGAAACAAATCAAACAAAAAAATAAAACAAATTCTACTGTTCCTAATATTCTGTATGTTGCTCAAAAACAAAATATATTGTGTTCAGCGGAAAAAAAGTTTTTTTTTACCCAGTCATTTAAAAATAACACATTTTTGAGCTGTAACGACAATACCGTGATACCATGAAACCGTGATATTTTTGCTTAAGGTTATTATACCGTCAAAATCTCATACCGGCCCATGCCTACAATGAACATGTATTTTT